TCCCTCTCCCTTCTGGGTGCCAGCCACCCCCCTTGTTTCTCTCCTCGATCCACAAGTTGGATTGTGTTCCTGGACCTTCCTGCTGCTGGGCGCGCGCCCTCCTGCTGCCTCTTCTCGGCCTGCCGTGCCTGAGCTCATCCTCCCCCCTTCTCTCTTGCCTGGCCCTAGTCCATGGCCGCAGAGCCCCGGGCTCTTCTCTCCGTGAGCCTGAGGAGCCGGAGGCCAGGCGAGGGCCAGGAAATGACAGTGACTGGGCACCCCAAAGGAGAGGCTGCTCAGATGGCCAGGGCGCCTCTGGACCGGGGCCTGCCCCGGCCCTGCTCAGACCTGCTGTGGGCACCTGGACAGAATGGCACCCGCTGGGAACAAGGCCCAACCAGCCTCGGGGCCGGGTGCCCCAGGCCACGCTGACTGGCCCTGCTCTGTGCCATAGGACTTCACCAGCGAAGCCCCCGCCTCTCCCCTCCCGGACCCTGCGGCCTCCCCCCTGTCTCCACACCGAAGAGCCAAGTCACTGGACAGGAGGTCCACGGACTCCTCCATGACGGTGAGCCGGGCATCACGCCGAGGTCTGGAGACCGCGTCTCGCTGCTTCCCGTCACTCTGGGCCGCTGTCTGTTTCTGTCACGCGTCTGCACCACTGTCCCCCGTGCCCGGGCCCTCGTGTCTGTGAGCAGCTCCATCTACCCACCGCAGTTCGTCAGAAGCAGATCCTGTGTTCTTCCCTGTCTGAGCCAGCAGGAACGGGCTCCTTGGCATCCTGCACCCGGCAAGGAGGCCTTGGCCAGCCGCCCCGGCACCGCACACAGGAGAGGACGTCCATTTAAGAGCCAGCGGGTGTCCTGATGTCACAGGGTCACTTTCTAGGGGTACCTCACACCACTCTGACGGCCAGGGCAGCTGAGCAGTTGGGCGCAAAGCAGGGTTTCAGGGGCCTTGCAGGGAGACTTTCTTGCCTCTTGGTCAGCCTTGGCCAGGCCTGGGCTTGGCCGACAGTACTGTCTCCATTCCTGCCCAGACATGGGGCTTGGGCAGAGGCTCTCCAACGTTCTGTCCTGGCCGTTGGCCTGCCACTTCTCACCTGTTCTTCCTCCCTCCCTCCCTGTCTTTGGGACTCAGGACGTCTAAGCCAGTTTCTGATCCAGGTGGCCAGAGATGAGTCGAGGATCTTGGGTCCAGAGAGGGTGTCTCTGGGGCTATGGCGGGTGGAAGGCAAGTGTCCCGATGCAGTACCTTCGGGCTGCTCTTCAGCCCTGGCATGTTGGAATGACACAGGTGGAAGAGGCCTGACAGGCAGGCGCCCACGTGGTGCCTGTGGGCAGAGTCCCCACCTTGTTCTCGGCCACCCTCTGTCTTGTGGGGATGCAAGACTAAGCCTCCTGATGGACAGGGCCCAAGAGGCTTAGCAGGGGCATGGGGCTCGTCCTCTGCTTCCCAGACTTCTGTCCCTGGTCTTCTGTGGCTTCTGCACAAACCTTCGGACATTTCTGAGCTGTCCCTGCAGCTGTCCCCTTCACATCCTATGCTCAGGGACTCTAGACCTGTTCTGGCAGTAGCCCCAGAGAGGCCCCCCACACGTGTTGCCCGCACGCGTGGAAGCTGCAGCCTCGTCACTGCCAGCTGCTGCGCCGCGTCTCCTTCCTTGAGGACATGTGCCAGCGGAGAGGCGCGAGAACAGTCCCTGCCGGAACCAGAGCCCCACGGGCGTATCCGGCAGGCGGAGCAGTCCTTTTCCACTCACCTGCCTCATCTGGACTCAACTGTCGGCCCTGCCGGACATCCTCTGCCCACGACAGGGACTCTGGGGTTGTCTCTGAGCTGTCGTTTCTCTCCCTTCCTTAGCCCGACCTGCTGAATTTCAAGAAAGGCTGGCTGACGAAGCAGTACGAGGACGGCCAGGTGGGTGTGCAGAGCAGCATGTGCCCGGGACTGGAGGGTAGGCGAGGGGCCAGGCCGGCCAGGCCACGCACCCTGGCCACTCCCCAGCCCTCGCTGCGCGGCTTCACCCTGACGACCG